AAATGCTCTTCTTTTTAACTTTTTATTCATCAAAGAATCCTGAAAAAAGTATCACAGGTTACAAAAAAATATTAAGCAGCAAAACTGTTTCCAATATTGATAATAAATCAGCATATTAGAATGATGAACTCATTATTTTAAATTGCAATAATATTTCACAATATTACTGTTTTCTCTGTATTTTTGATCAAATAAATGCAGCCTTGATGAGCAGAACAAACTTCTTTAAAAATCTTACTGATCCCAAACATTTGAACAGCAGTGTGTATATATAAACATATATATATATATATATATATATATACTTACATCTTGACATTGTAGAAGCTTCTTATGGGCTTCATATTCAGGTGTCATAGTTTGAGGGAAGAAACATCTCGCCTTCATGTCCTCATAATCAGCTTTGTAGATTTGCTTTTAAAAGACAAAGAAAGCAAGTGTGAATATACACATACATTTTTTTTAATCAAGAAGATGAAAATATACACATAAGTACATTAGGGTAACTTACATCATTCTTCAATTCTTCCATCTTCTGGCAGTGAACTGTAAATATATCTTCATAGCTACCAACATAATGACCCTTCACCTCATTTTCATACTTTTCTTTATAACGGACCTGAGGAAAGAGAACAATATAAACTTGAGATATGAGGAAATATCAGATGTTTGCAACAAATTAGGAAATCGTCACTCACATCACTGAACTTCTTCAATACACTGTCCATCTTGAATTTGGGAGTGTCACAGTAATTGATGCTGAATCCCCGTGCTTTCTCATAATTAGCTTTATATACATTCTAGAAAAGGAATAAGAAAGGCATGTCAGTAACGAGTCAACAATTTCGAGATATAAACTACATTTATTTCAATACAGGTTTGTTTAAATTCTCAAAATAACACCTTGAGTAAATGATGAGAGGACACGCTTTATAATACTCATTTTGAAATCTTTAGGATCGTTTTGGTTTAATGTAAGTGCCAAACAGTGGCCACTCAGATAGAACCCCATTCAATTATCAGGTCTAATGAGATGTGATCATTTTAAATGAGCTGCATAGTCACACTAACTGAATTATAATGCTATAACCCACACCATCATTCAATCATTAACACGAGCATTGCTAAACATCTTTAGTTTTTAGAGAAGAACTCACTGTAACATCTTTGGTTTTGTCAATGTTTTCAGTATTTGTATTTCGCTAAATAATTTATTTCAGCTGCCTTGTGGCAATATTTATTATGCACAACCTTAGACCATAAACATTTCCTGGCAAAGCGGACCACTTTAATGATGAAGATCTGGATTAACACACATACATCACTCAAGATGGTGCCTGCGTATCTCAGCTGTCTGAGAAGGGGGTTCTCTGTAGCAGGGAGAACGTTGTAATCGGACACTGCTTTTGTCTTCTCATAGTCCTTCTTATATTTGACCTGTTGAGGTGGAAAAATGCACACATTAAATGACAAACGGTTGTGACACTGATATGACTCATGGGTTCTTCTTGCACTGTTTAGAGATTATTTAGGACTCAGAAAAGTTTTTCTTTAAAAGTTTCTCTTTTTATTTTTTAAGTCAACACAAAACATTCACAACAAGTCCAGTAAATAAAATTTGATACTCATCCCTGGTTTCTTTTATAGCTACCGTGCATAAAAATACTCGGGATCTAATCCTCTTTGTTTTTTCATGTCCTCTCTTGTGATGCAGGCAATGAGAATTAGTAAGCAGGGATCAACAGAGATAACCAGATCAGACATGCGAATCTCTGGATTGACTCATGATCTGTTTAAAGAGTCATCACAGGAAGGTTGTTTCCATACAATGAGAAAAGATGTCTAAAAAAAGTATGTCTATCAGTAAGTACTACCTCACTTTTATTTTTAATTAGGAGTCAATGCACAAATGGCATAATGTTTTAAAGCTTTTTTACATTTTCTAAAAACTAAAAACATTCTGCTTATGTCCAAGTTTAAATTACAGAAAATACCAGCTTTTCGTGTGTTATCAGATTTACAGACTCCATTAAATGCGTGAAGAAAAAAAATGAAAAAACAGTGTAAATAAATTCTAAAAAACTTACCGTACTTGCAGCTTCACGGGCCTTTTTATTAGAAGCGTATGTTGGTGTGTCTGTTTGCATGAAATAAATTTGGTCTTTCATGTCTTCAAAAGCAGACGTATATTTTTTCTGGAAAGGAATCAAAGTGACACTCAGCTTTTTTTGAATGATTTTAATATTAATATTTTGATATTCATTTACTTTGATAAATGCATTTATTTGAACTATTCTAACAGAATATGTTTTTGAAGCATGCTGGGTTTCTTGCACTTACGTCGCTGATGTTGTCCATAACCATTCTAGCAACAGCGATATCAAAGTAAGGGGTTTCACACCATTTGCCCTTGACGTTCTTGTTGTAATCCTCATGATATTTAAGCTGTGAGGAATTAAAGTGTTTTTCATTATTTTTATATTTTACATGTCATTCCCAGAGACTATTTTGGCAAGCACAATCTATTCTTGCAGGGACAGAAGATATTTACATGATTTTCAGACCCTGATGTTCACATTGTAAAATACAATACAATACAAAACTAAAATAAATACAAATAAAATGTAATACTGTAGACCAAATCACTCCATTGGTGTAAGTCTGATAGATGGAAACTAAAAAAAAGGACCCTTTATTAACACTTCAGGAAAATGGAAATTGATTCAGAAGGCACGAAAACCATGGAAGTCATACATTACTACGATTGGTGAAGTTTTTCTTGGCCAGTTCCACCTCTGGGGGATCAGCCAGACTCGTGTACTTTGCCTTGCGCTCATCATGGCCCTTCTTGTAAACAATCTGTAAAGGTGGAGCACAACAGTTTTTTGAAACAAGGGCAGTTCTAAGAGCAATAAGAGCACATGTAATAGTATTTTTAACAGGGATAATAAAAATATATATAAATAAATAAATTTACTTTAGAGACAAAAAGCGGTGTTTCCCCAAATTGTTTCAGTGGATGCCAAAACAATTTAATGATAATTGTTCTAGCATTTTTTTTTAAGTTACACAGTAAAATATCACAAGTTTACTCACATCACTGAGGACTTGTTGGGCCTTGGCCACCCTGCGCAGCTCTGGGCTGTCACTGTATGGATAGTACATGGTTTTATCATCATCCCATGCCTCTGTGTACAGTTTCTGGTAGGGATATTCAATCATTGTAGAGGGTAAATCAGCCAGGAATGACAGTATAACTATCACTTTAGTGCTTATCTACTACTAAGACAGGAATCAGAGGTCTACCTTGCTGTAATTCGCTGCATTCTTCACAGCAAGAACCAACTCAGGGGCATCGGGAGGGAGCAAGTACTTATCCTTGGTCTCATCCCATTTTTGCCTGTACAGAACCTGGAAAAAGCATATGTAAAGAACTTATGTTATGACAATAAAAAACACAAGGAAAGGAATCAGGATTTCACTAGTTGTTGGGTAGTCACTGTCTTGACACAAGCACTTACTTTGCTGATGAGCTCAGTGGCGTGCTTCACATGGGCAATCTCACGAGCCTCACCATCATAAAGGCTGGTGGTTTTGGCCTTCAGTCCTTCCATACGGTATTTCACCTGGGTTACCAAAAGAATTCATGGTCAGTTAAATTTACAACATCTGCTAGAATTAAGAAGTGTCTGGTTGTGGTTTATTAGGAGATCTAAACTAAGGAGGTTTCAAAAAAGCATCAGTTAAAACACCCCATGCAAACATATAGATCTTGCAAACTATATTCTGACAGATTGAAAAGTACAGATATGATCCATCAAGGGTACATACCTCACTGAGCTGCTCCTGGGCCTTTTTGATGCGAATCATCTCAGGTGTTTCAGCCGAAATGTCATAGGGCTGCCCCTTTGATTTTTCATATGCCTCCCTGTATTTATTCTAAAAAAACATACAAATTCAGTTTGCATTATAGAGCAGTCAAGATAACACAGGTAGCGTGATTTTTTTTTTCAGGATTCCGTCATTTTTGATTAATTTAATGCATTCTAGTTGAATAAAAGTATTAATTTAATTTATTATTATTAACTTACTGGCTCAAAACCTTTGAATGATCGTTTGAATCAAACCCCTACTGACTCTAATTCTACCTAATATCTTTTTTTATTCCAGTGGTTCTCAAACTGTGGCCTGCAGACATGATGTGGTAACATTCATTTTATGAGAAATTGCTTCTGTTGTCTCACTTTAATAATTCAGTTCACAGTTATGAGTATCATTTGGGATCATTAACAGTGGTGGTCTAATTAATTTCAATGAAATAAGAACAAAACAGTGGTCTAGGAAACTGGATTAATAGCACAAAATATTTTCTTTGTCATTTGCTTACATGGCTGTACTGGTCAAGCATCTTCTGACTGTGTGCCAGGTAAGGAGTCATGAACTTGGAGGTGTCCACCTTCACCTTCTTCCTAACTGCACGTTTGGGAAGGCCACCAGGTCCAAGCTTAAAAAAATAGCAAGCAGCATTTAAGACAGATGTACATGGTTAAGAGCAACATCTCTAACTTTACAGAATTTCATCACTGAAAGCCAAACCGTTTTAGGGAACGTTACATCACTTTATGGGGGACAGTTCTGGGGGACCAAAACACCTAATTTTCGAAAATTATACCCAACTTTCCAACACTTACCTTCAATGTCCTCTGCAAACACTAATTTGTTTGTTTACCATGCAAATTAGTATTTTACTTTTTATGACAGATGAGTGAAAAGGTTATATAAATTTGATATTTCACTGACAGGTCAGTAAATTAGTATTGGCTAGACAGGTATTTCATTAACATGTATTTAAAAAAAACATGCAGGAAAAACTACAAAAAATGCACTTTTGGGACAGGCAAGCCAAGCGCATTAAGCATAGGTTTTACCACATACTACAGCTTTAGACAGACATAAACTAAAGTAAACATCACATTAACTCACATACAGAAAGCTCTATTAACACAACCTCACTGTCATCACTGGCATCTGCATGGCTCTGAATCATGGGGGCTATTTTTTGTAAATGTGCTACTCTCACAACTTAAAGAACTTACTTATTCTGTTTTCATTGACTCGTGAATTGTTAAACAAGGGAGTTTGTTTAATAATCCACTCTTTAAGTCGGTATACCATTTGGATAAATCTTACTAATAAAAACTAAACTAGGTGAAAAGAATACGGAATAGCCCCCATGGCATGTGGAAGGGACACAGATCCGTTTAACCAGGGTAGATCATTTACCTCAACACCATGAGACATTGAGGTGGTCGAGGTGGTGATTGTTGGACCCTCCTCATAGTAGTACTATAAATATAGGGAAAACTCTGGGCTTTCAAAATGATGGTCACACACTTCTGGAAAACACTACAATCTAGGAAAGTTACTTTTTCCTGCTCTGGTTGTCATAGACTGTTTAAAACAACCACTGCGAATAGAAATACTCACACACCCATACAAGTAACATTTTAAGCTTAACATATCAAAAATACATTTGCAGCTATGTACTATAGATTGCAAAACAACTTTGCATAAACATTATTCCAATAATAATAATAAAAAGCAGAATAAATAAATAATTATTCATTTATTTTGGTTTTGTACAGAGCCCTGCACATGACATGCAGAGGGAAAAAAACAGATACTGTGGCTTTAAATTATGAATGTGTTCCCATAATTTACAAATTTGTGGCCACATAGTACCAGTTTGATCCCTTATTCCCATGATTGGGAACTATTTCTTAATTCATGGCCATGATATCCTATTTTTTTCCCCCACATGTTCTCTGCTTGGTAATTTGGGACATTAAAACTTTCTAAACAAAACTAGGCTATATTGATCTATAAACATGTTGTTACTTAAATATTAAACTTTTTCCCCACAGAATGTTGTTTCCTCCTCTTCACTTGCTTTAAACTGAATATCTCAGCAGTTGTTTAGGGAATAAAAATACAGTAATGCTGTTGTTTTCCCAGTGGACCTCTGACTATGACTGACAGAGCCGAATGACTGGCTGGTGCTAAGAACATTTTAGCACCCTAATGACCTCACCACTATTATTATTTGCAGCTAATGTTATTGTCATGGTAGTAAATAGAAACAGCAGGTCAGGGAACAAATTCCAACACAAACACTCACATACATGTCTGAAAGCAGTGTATCAAATTCAGCCATACACGTGACTCCCGAACTGTCTAGAGAATAAACTATCCCTACTGCTATTTAGACAGATATCATGACAGAATCTCTCAAAAAGTAATTGGCTGCCACATCACAGAAGGCTTCAAATAATGTGAAACCAGAGCAGGAAAAAAACATCTCAAAACTATGAATTTACAGGAGCTAGAGGCTTCTTTATTTGGACCAGTGGATAGCAGAAATACATATGTTTTAAGATCTTGTGATTTGTATATACTTTTCCACTTAACAGACAAGATACAGGAGATGGAAAGTGGTGAATATACGATAAAATACGTAGAAAATCAAAATCTCTCTCTCTCTCTCCACCACTTACAGATATTTTTTTCCACAGGTCCTCCCCCAAAAGCATTTTAACAGCATGACGTTAACAGCAAGAGGAGTGTAATTTACAACACGGCTCGTCTCATTTGCCTCTCTGCGAGTCTGCCGTAGATGTCAACTTCTATATTTGTATCTCTGGAAAGAACAACTCAGCCAAAGCTGAAGGCTGCTTTTCCATTAATGGGGAGAAAAGCATATTTAAAAAATCACAAAACTTTGCCTAAATTTGAGATACACTTTTTTTTAATTAGTGCTCCATTATTTCTATAAAACGCTATAACCTGTAAATAATAACTTCTGAAAAAAAAATTTAAATACTGTTTATCAATTAGCAACAACTGTATTTGAAAAATCAACAAAATATTAAAGAACAAAATGTGAATCTCTGCTTTCCACAGAACCAATGAAAGAAGCCAACTTAATTAACGCCGATGTCTTTCAGGTCCTATTCTAAGTGTAGATGAAAGTAGTAGTGAAATCAGAGCGTATATATTCCAAATTATTCTGTTGAGATCTTCTCAAAATGCAAGATGGCGAATTTCCATTTCCTGGATATGTTAAAGGGGAATCCAAAAGCATTTGTTCAAAAAGTTCTTTCAAAAGTACCTAATTAATGAGAAGTCAGGTTAATGCAATAGTTTGGTAAACCCCTATAAGATATCTACAACAGAAATGGACACGAAAGTATACAAGGTCTACTTTAACTCTATTTCTCTTGGAAATACTGAATTAAAGTATCAACCTTCTGCTTTCACTCTTCCATTGAACACTCAGACAGACACATTTACAATTCATACAGACAGTATTTCAAGGAATAACATGACAGAAACACATTGAAGTAAACAAAACTGCGGCAAGCTTCAAGAGGAGCTGTGGTTAAATATTGTTGTATTTCTTCAAAATACCCCAAAACATGGAATATATGCAAAATTATGCTGATTAAGCAATTGTGATTAAATTGACTACATATTTGTTTTGAAATACTAAATTTTTCTGCTCATAATGAAGCTTGCAGTCGATTTAGTTGCTCTGAACAGAACATAATCCCACTGTTAGTATAAAAGTTGAGAGTATTATATCTAACAATGGTTATTTCCATTCAGGCTTGTTTGGTTTGATCAGGAAAAAATACATTAGCATGTTCATAATAAGACCTTATTATCAGATTATGACAAACTGCTGCAGGGGTCATTACATAACTGTCATGTGAATGACGGTTTGCCACATATGTAATTGACATCTCGTTATGGTATTAAATGTAGCACATCTATCGAAAAGACTGCATTGATACATTGATTACTGGGAATAAAACATGCATTGAAGGGAATTCACTGTACTAGCCTCCAAGGAAGAGGTCATTTGAAATGGGATCCAATGCTAATCATATACGACCTGGCAGCTTCTACTGAACTGTTGACGGTGGAGGTATCATAGATCACTATTCATAGGGTTCGCCACTATACCTATAGGATTGAGTTCTATGAAGCGTTAAGTTGAAAAGCATATATATGCTATTCAAGGGGCAAAGCAAAATAATGTAGAGCAGCATTAGTGTCATTCTTTCAATGAATGAGGGGACAACCTCTAAACAGATGATAAAATATGGATTGCAATGAATCAGATTTGTATCTTACCTCCTCCACAATCTCTTCTTCATACTCTTCTTCTGATGCCATCTTCAAACGGATTTAGTGAGTCTACGCAAGCAAATTAAAAATGGTCAGACACTAGCAAGGCTAATCGGTATAGTACATATGTAACTAAATATTAACAGCATTAAACTCATTTCTGTTGCAGACGATGACAATTAAACAGCTTTTTTGAATACTTTTTAAGGCAGTGACCCTCACTGAAGGATTTCAATTTCAGTAGGACTTGAAGGACACTCACAATGTTCACAATACAACAGGAATAATCTGTCAATTTTAATATTTAAGTTAAAGAACCAAACTAAAAAGTGTAGAAGCTGACGTACCTTTACAATAGAAGGTTACAGTAGACTTTCAGCAACCCTACTGTAAAGAAAGGTGTTCGCTTTCCATCCACTCGTGTCCCAATCTGCTATTCCACTTTATGTACTCCTGCAAACTTAAACAAAGACAAAAACGTGTCAGTTTTCTTCTGACTGAGCTGATGCTTTAGTGTGGGTGGATCAACAAAAGCAAAAATCCAAATTTTGTGCTGAAATCTTTCTGCAGGCCTTGGTAGGTGAGAGGGTTTGACACCTAAGACCCCCCAAAACGCTGCGCCTCTTGCCTGAAGCCTTCCGACAGCTGCTCTGAATCACTCCAGCTATTTGTCATGTAAGCCAATACTGTGGGATGATTGGCTGGCTTTGTTTAGCTAGTGGAGCTCCAATGCCTTCTGAGGCTGCAGGTTAAATTTAGGTCTGACCACTAACTACCCTTTTTTAGGACCCAACTCCCAGAAAATGACATCAAATTATGGTTTTCTATGCATTTTCATCAGAAAGATTGAGAGGACTGTGGATGGGACTTTAACAAACTCCTGCCCATGAGGTGAGGTGCTTCAGATAGTCTTCCAGGAAGAACAAAGTCCAGGAGTAAGTTCCAGCTTTGAGTAACTGGTAAATTGGTTGTTCCTGCAATGATTGCCAATAAAGCCAGATGATTCTTATCAGGCCGTGGTTTATGGACCAGTATCGTCCTGAGCATCACTTCCATCTACCAACAGGCTGTAGAAGATGGTCAATCCAACTGGGCAGGTCATGCAAAGAGTGCTAGAGAGTGAAATCTGGTGTGCGGTTTGATTTCGTGGTTTTTCCTTTGCTTACCGGTGACTTTAAAGTTAAAACGTTTCCCAAGCTGCCAGAGCCTCCCCAACTCTTCCCTCCAAAGAAACGCTGGGCAACAGGTCACAGCTGCAACGGCACTCCTATTATCATGTGCTCCTATTCACCAATCAGTGGCCAGTATTCTCAGGTTTCAAAAGCTAAATATACATTAGTGACCCTTCAGAAAAGTGCACCTGTTCAGCAAATCATCAGCAATACAACAGTGAGGAAGAGAAAAGAAAACACTGTAAAATACCTGTTTTCTGTGAATGAGGGAATGCAGGGATGTAGAATTCTCAAAGATGGAGTTCTATGGGGGTATGTATCATCAGGAGTAGTAGAGATCCTGGGGCAAAATGAGGTTTTCTCTGTGAAGACATCCAGAGAAACTTCTTGAGGTCACTGGTTTGCATCCAAGTGTACATGGAAAACAGAGGCTGAAATCTTGGTCACGGCTGGGGGCAAGAGGGAAATAAACTGTCGACTTGTCCATCCAATTACAAACATCTAGAGCGATTGAGGATCAGAAATCGATTCTCAGTCAATATTCTATCTATAGGCACTATACTCGATGCTTGTGCACATTCCATCAAACATGCATTACATAGCTCAGTACAATATAAATCTTCACATATTACCTTTGGATTTTCTTTTGGATTTTGGCTAAATGTTCTTTGACTGTATTCTTGACCAGACATATCTGTAGTAAGTCCTATTTGGTAAAGTATTCTCATACAATTTGTAGCAATTGACTTGTTTTGTGTTTGTTAACACCAGAGTGGGAATTATAGGGGGTCTGACCACCCTAATTAAGGGTTTAAGTCTGGTAAAAGTAGTTTTCCTTGACAATATTTCAGAACTTTTATGTGTATTTTTTTATTAGCTGTTCAGATTCAGAACTAGCGATGACTGATTCGTGAATGAATCACTCTTTTGATGAGGTCTGAATTAGTTCACCAGTCAGTTTGATTAGCTCGGACGGTTCACTCAAGTACTGAATCGTTGGCAGCGGTTTTTCACACCGTTTATACTTATAAGACAGAAACCAAAAAAAGAGTGCCAAGGTGAATATTTACCTAACGTTAAAATCCATTGTAGGCAACAAAAAAGTTGCAAAAGTCACTTTTTTTAGAGGAAGCAGTTCTTTATTGCGCGTGCATATTCTGCAGATTCTGACTCTCTACTGCAGGGAAAGACTATTTATGTCGCTATATCCATAATAGTATTAAAATACGGGCACACTTTTTTAATGGCGGCTGTGAAAGGTTACAACGCCCCTACGAATGTAGGCTACAGCAAATAAGCGCCAAGCTGGCGGTAACCATAGCAACAGTAAGCCGCTCTCGTGCTTTTCCATTGGGATCAGTTTTAGGAAATAATTATAAAGATAAGTACTCCTTTTTATGCAGTACTTTACTAAATTTACACATTTAAAAGTTTTTTTTTCTTTGTTGATAATTCAACTTTAGCTGACAACCAAAATTAAATTAAAATTGGCTAACTTTGACAGGCTGCTCCTGAAAATTAAATTACCTTTTAATGACAACAGGCCGTTCTTTCAGTTATTTTAAAACCCCTTGAAAATTATTATAATTCACAGCACTCTTTTAAGATTATCTAAGGGTGACTCATTAAAAATTTTAGGAAAAAGTGCCGCTACAGATGTCTGCAATACATCTCTAAGTGCTTCTGCAGACAGACAGCTGCCGTCTCACCCTTCTGTGATCTTTGGTGTGTAATCTAATCCTGACGAGCATGTTGTAGTATTAAAACTATTCAGGGACACAAAAATACAGCTGACACTATTTTTGAAGCATCCTGAGTGGCAGCAAGGGGGTATAATGATGTTCAGGCACAGAGGCCACAAGCCTATTTCCTATAGCCCATTATATCCCTGTGTCTGAGGAGGAACGGTTGAACAATACACCTTCAGACACATGATTTAGCAACGACTAAACGCTTACAACGATTTTATTCGTGATGTCCTCCAGCCATTCCCCCTCAGAAATCCTTCTGTACTCCACGTCTCCATTGTGGGGCAGCGTGACCGAGCTGAATGACAGACGCAGCTGTGACTGTGTCAGCTCAGTGTTTCCCACTGTCCTCATACTTAAACAGTGATGGACAAGCTCAATGCTCATCTCTGCAAGACCTAGCACTGACACTGATCACATCAATGCTCAAATTTACTTGTTTATATGCAGTGCACATTTACAATCATTTAAAACTTTTTAACCAATTTGCAGAATTTTCACAATGTATTTTATGTGGCATAATAGGGTTAACAGATGCCAGGAGATTCACAGACCAGGGTTATTAGAGCTAACTAAAACATCAAAACGTTACCTGAAATAAAATAAATGTTATAACTGAAATAAGATCAAATATATAAAAAACTTTTTTTTTCCAGGTAGTTGCAACATTTGTCATTTTCATTTAAATCAATGTACTAAAATAACTAAATTAATACAAATATATTCATATATTAAAATAATAATAAAAGAAATAACAAAACAAAATTATTAAAATGTAACTAACATTAGAATGAAAACAGAAAATATATTTAAAAAAAAAATGTTAAAAATATTAATAGAAACTAAAAGTACCTCAATTATTAAAAAAAAAAAGACAAGCCAGCATTAATAATAAAACAAGAAAGGAAAATATATGGAGAGAAGTAGTGAGACTTTTAAGCTATGTTTTATATTATATATATTTGATATTAAGCTATATTCAGTCACACCAGAACAGTCTTCATATTAGTTGAGATAATATCTTGATAATATCAAAGATTGGACTAATCAGAACACTGAAAAAAAAGGTAACATCTAAATTAACTGATTGAATAAATAAATAAATTAGCACCACTGAATCAACATAAATACATCAATTTATACCAACAAAACTAAAAGCAGATAAAAATAGCTCAGTAACACTTTAGTTTAGGGACAGATTCTCCTATTAACTAGCTGCTTAGCATGCATATTACTAGCATATTGGCTGTTTGTTAGTACTTATAAAACACATATTAATGCCTTATTCTGCACAACCATATTTTAGATCCCTTAATCCTACCCAATACCCAAACTTAACAACTACCTTACTAACTATTCATAAGCAGCAAATCAGGAGTTTGAGTCAAAAGTTGTAGTAAATAGTTAGAGTTAATAGTGAGTATTGGTCCCCAAACTGAAGTCTGACCATTAGCACTTTAAGGTAACAATCGCAGGTTACCACTTTTTACAGTGTACATACTAAGAGGATGGAAAGCAATACTGGGAACAGGTAAAAACATGTATACTGCTGACTGAGCTTATGCACAATTCTTCAGTACAGTGGTATGAGGCTTTGAAGCTTAGTCACTGGAAAAAACAAGTATGGTAATGGGGGGGCCTGAACAGCTGAGGATGAGTATTAAAACACCTTCTATGACTCCTCGTTTAAATAAAACCACATCTCTCATTCTGGAAAACAAAACACTGGCTCACAGATGCAGATACTGTGCCAGAGAAAACCTGCATATGACTCATGAAATTAAACTTAAAATATAATTAACTATGTCTGCACGAACATCATCTTCAAATACCAGAAAGTAGGTGAGTTTATAGGAATAGCATTCTGTCATGGTAGTGGAAATGTCAATGCGCAGTGTGTTTTTTAAATTTTATGTAACAAGTACACTAAGAGTTTATGAGTATTAACAGCCTCATCCATACGTTGTCCTGCTTCAGATAGATACAAAAATAACTATCAGGCTAATGGTATCTCACATTATTAGGCACTGATGTTCTGCATGAGATCATCTTTTGGAGACAGTCAGTCGAGGGTCAAGGACTCTTCATTGTGGAGAGGAGCAGCATAACAGCTCAACAATACAAATTAATGGCTAATGTAAAGAAAATGTACCACTAAATAAGGTAACAAGGTTAGAGAAACATTTTTTCTAAAATCTGCTCTAAAATATACTGAACAGTGGTACCTGCCATTTATTCTGGCATTGATGCCATACTTACATATTCCTTGATCAGATTTTAAGCAACATATTTTAAGTTTTAAAGTCCATTGTGTTTGCTACCAGTGACACCAAATTCAATTACAAAAATAATCTATCCACATTAAAAATATTTTAAAATAATAATAAAAAAAACACTTTCTCTTTACATTTAAATTTAACTACACTCTTAAAAATAAAGGTTCTTTATTGGCATTGATGAACACCCGTAGATCCTTTCCATTGCACAAAAGGTTCTTTATAGTGGAAAAGGTTTAAGAATTGTTTACTGAAAGGTTCTTTGGGTAACCAAAAATGGTTCTTCTATGGCATTGCTGTGAAGACAACCTTTTTTGGAACCTGGTTTTTAAGAGTGTACGTAAACGTATTAAAGTGTTCTGTTCTTATTAAAAATATTGTGTGTATGGGCTGTGGTATGTACTGAAAAACTATGATTTTAGTA